GAGGATCTACATTTGATTTTTATTGATTTAGAAAAATCTTACGATAAGGTTCCAAGAGATGTCCTTTGGAGCGTTCTTGAGAAGAAAGGTGTTGATAGGACTTATCTTCAAGTCATTAAAGATATGTATACTAGAGCTGTCGCTTGTGTTCGAACTGAAGGAAGATTGACCAAATATTTTCCTATTTTTGTTGGATTACATCAGGGATCGGCTTTAATCCAATATCTTTTTGCTTTAGTTATGGATGGTCTTGCTGGACATTTACATGAGGATGTACCATGGTGTATTTTTTTTTGTTGATGATACCCTTCTTGTAAATAAGGCAAGAGAAAAAACCGAGGAAAAACTTGAATTATGGAGGTCTACATTGGAGTCTAAAGGCCTTTGTTTAAGTAGAACTAAAACTGAATACATGGAATGTTTCAGGACTAAAACTGAATACATGGAGTAGTAATAGCTCCAGTGACAGAAGTGTGACTTTGGGTGATCAAATTATTAAAAGGTGTGAACGATTTAGATATCTTGGGTCCGTTGTCCAAAGCGATGGTGATATAAATGGGGATGTTAATAATAGAATTCAAGTTGGTTGGTTGAAATGGAAGAATGCTTCAGGCCTTTTGTGTGATAGAAAAGTATTGCTTAGACTGAAAGGAAAATTTTAAAAGAGGGTAGTGAGACCTACAATGCTCTATGGCGTTGAATGTTGGCCTTTAAAAGAGAAATGTAATACTAAGTTAAGTGTTACCGAGATGAGAATGATTAGGTGGATGAGTGGCTTTACACTTAGAGACAAAATGCTAAATGAATATATCCGGGATAGGGTTGGTGTAACTCCAGTGACGGACAAAATTAGAGAGAGTCCTCTTACATGGTTTGGTCACATTAAACGTCGACCATCCGATGATTCGATTAGAAGAGTAGATGTTTTAGATTCGACTTAAGTTAAGAAAGGCAGAGATAGACTTGGGCTTATTGTATAAAAAATAATCCTAATTTATTAGAACTAAATGAATATGACACTAAATATGATGCAATGGAGAAAAAGGATTCATGTAGCCGACCCCACGTAGTGGGATTAAGGCTTTGTGTTGTTATTGTTGTTGAATGAAGGCCAACAAAGTATGTGAGTGTTGTCTAAATATGAAAGTTTAGGTGTTTGATATGTAAATGCATAAGAATTGTATGCTATACTGATATGTCTGTAAATGCCCCCTATTGTTTTTGCTCTTAGAATGCTGTTTTTTGCAGTGGATTATTATTGTTGATCCTAGAATTTGGTTGGCGTATGTGCTTGGATGGTTATTAGTGCTTGTGGGACTGGGAACCAGATAGTATGGCTGCTTAAAGTTTAAAACATAATTAATATATTCTTACAGGAAATCTCAAAAGGACCTAATTGTCGAAAGAGTAATCCCACCGCTATTTTTATATATGATATTTTTGTCTCAGGAGACTTGAACGGAATGATTGCTTTCTGATATTTACATTAAAAAAACCTTCTCAAATCCTGAAAAAAGGGAATATAATAATTTCTTGGGTGCATTTTGTTTTGCAACAGTTTTGGAATCAGGTCCTTTTGAATAGAATATATGCATGTCATATAAAATATATCAGTCATGGTAAGTAGGATTTCAAAGCCTCAAATCAAAATGAATTCTTCTTTGTTTCCTACCAAACAGAGCTGCTTACTAGAACATTTATATCGATTCTCATTCATGGTTTACCGGGCAATGTTTCTCCAATTTATATATTTTTTTATTTTAACATCACACAGGTACTTGTTCTATTCCAAACCATTGGTAGTGTACAACTTTTTTGGTTGTAATTCCATGAAAAAAAATTCCATCATCTTGTAAGATATTTGCTATTTTTTGGAAAAAGACAATTTTTTTCAGTTTCTAAATATTTATGATCATAAGAAGAAATTCACAAGTTAAGCTGTTGATGTGAGCTTTATTTGCCCGATACTGGTTTCTATGCAATTTTGTTACTAGTTTATTGTATTAGATTGTCTTTTTCTTGCGAAACTTTTTTTTTTAATGCTTGATTTGTTTTTGGCTATGACTAGTGTCTTTCAGTTCTTAAGTGTAGCATACAAAATGAAAATAAAACTGTTATGGTTCTACTTTTTTCCCTTCAATCTTCTAATTGTTTCACTACTATGTCCCTGCCATATCAGTACTCGCCAAACCAGCTTTCAATGTGAGTAATGTGAAAAACAAAATAACTGAAATGAAAATAAATGATGGAATTTCAGCTAAACCACCAGCTTCGTTACCTAAAGGGGATCAATTATTTCCAAGTGATTCATCTATCATGCATTATAACCCAAGTCAACTGAATGAATTATCTGAAGACAGACAAATTGGCAATCGTACAGTCTCTAAAGCAATACAACTCAATCAAAACCTGGGAAATAATGCTAAGTTCAATATGGAAACACCACAAACTCTTGCCGATGATTTAGACTGTTTGAAGTTAGATACAAATGTTACAAAAAAAAAGGAGGATTCACTAAACGATTCCAAGCCCAGAAAAGGGTTATTACTTGACCAAGAACAAGGAAAGAAGGATCAGCTGAATCTTGCATTTGTAAGGGAGTCACTTGATTCAGCTTTGCTAATCCACTGTGTTCCTCTTTTTTTATCATAATTGTAGCTCTTGAGTATTTAACTGATTTTTTAACAACCTAGGTTGGCCATGTTGATTCTGGAAAATCCACATTATCTGGAAGATTATTGCACCTTTTGGGAAGAATATCCAACAAAGAAATGCATAAATATGAGAAGGAAGCTAAAGAAAAGGTATAGCTCGGTTAATGTGGGTTGAGATGTGCATCTCATTTATCCAACTTTGTCTGATTTTGCTGCAAACTAATTTATTATTGCTACTGTAAATACAGGGCAAGGGATCTTTCACTTATGCTTGGGCTATGGATGAGAGCTCTGAAGAGAGGGAAAGAGGTGTGACAATGACTGTGGCTGTTGCATATTTTGATTCAAAGAAGTATCACGTGGTTTTACTGGACTCCCCCGGCCACAAAGATTTTGTTCCAAATATGATATCTGGTGCAACACAAGCTGACGCAGCTGTCCTTGTTGTTGATGCCTCTGTGGGGTCTTTTGAAGCTGGTATGGATGGCAGTGGCTTTGGACAGACAAGAGAGCATGCTCAACTTATCCGGAGTTTTGGTGTTGAACAACTAATAGTAGCTGTTAATAAGATGGATCTAATAGATTATAAGAAGGACAGATTTGATTTTATTAAGGTGCAGCTTGGATCTTTCTTGCGCTCATGTGGTTTCAAGGAATCATGCATAACTTGGATTCCTCTTAGTGCCATGGAAAATCAGAATTTGGTGACGGCTGCTTCGGATTCTCGTTTGTCTTCTTGGTTAGTTTGCAATTCTATAATTTTTTTAGGGGTATTTACATGCATACCACTCAATTCTTATATATTTAAATGTCTAATGCCTAAACTTTTATATTCACTTCTATAAAACTTTGGTGTCTTAAACTTATGCAAGAAGAGGTGTATTTCACTTTTAAAAAGTTAGTAATAATGATTTTTTGATGTGATATTAAAGATTTGAGTGTTATGAATGTAAATATGAAAGTTTAGGTGTTAGATATATAAATACATATGAATTTTGTGGTATGTGTGTAAACGCTCCATTTTTTTTTTCAATTTATGGTAGCTCCACGGCAATATGCTCTGGAAGTAACCTTTTTATTTGAATTAGATTAACGAAGCACGAGTGTTGTGTTTGGAATGCAATTTCTGGCTTACAACATTGTTACTTATTATTGCAGTTTTTATGTAACTAAACTGTAGTATATTTTTGTATAATCTTCTATATTTAAGGATGATTAGATATGTTCTTGTGATTATGATAACTATTAGTTTAGTTAGTATAATACTTTGAAAGTGTTGTTTTGCACAAAACTATGACTAATGCAATGTAATTAACTATGATATTGCAGCAACATATGCATCTAATCATATGTTTTATGGAAAATTTGTTTCTTTGAAATCTAAATTTTTTTTAATTTTACTGACGACCATGAAGCTATAACACTGAATAGGACGGAATGGAGAAAAAGGATTCATGTAGCCAACCCACGGAGTGGGATTAAGGCTTTTTTGTTGTTTCTTGTTATTGACGACCATGAAGATAGATTATAGGCAGCATTGTAACTGTTAAAGTTCAAGATTATGCTAATGCTTTAGTCCATTATGATTTTAGATGCCATTATATGAACCACGCAATAGACGCCATGTTGTTAGTAAAGAAGTTTGAATTGCACTTCGTTTTATTAGGCAATGGTCTAAGCTCTGAATCTTGAACACTTAAACACTATCAATGGATACGTTGATTTATTAAGAATTTTCTTTGTAGTCATTGCCATATTTTAGGCTTATAGAAAAGACAGCTTATAATAGATTTTTCATTTAACAAGCAAAGCCAAATATACCAGGCGATTCATTATTCTTAGAATAATTATCGGTCACCTTGATGAAAACGAAAAAACCAATTATAATTAATTCATACAAAAAATTCATTGACTTTCTAATAGAAAGATCAAGAATACTACAAACTTTGTGAAATTTACATACTTATTGGGAATCAGATTGTATGAAATTTGACTAATACAAATGTTCTTTTGAATTAATAACAAAATGTTGAAGAAATAAGAAGAGAAATAATTCACAAGAGAACACGAGTCATACTTTTACAAGGAGTTTCTTATATAATTGCAAAATTTTCACTTTTTTAAGGAATTGAATTCTGGAAGTCGAAGGAATTAGACATCAATTTTATTCAATCAATAATTGAGTTTTTGTATAAGCCTTGGACTTTTACTTATATTCATAAAACCAATTAAAAATTTATTCTTAAACAACCACATATAGTATGGTAGAGGATTTATAAAAGTTGGCTTTCTCTGAAGAAACAGAGGAATTGTATTTTAACTACTGCATGAAATCGTAATTGAGAAGTATTTGGAACAATGTACTTAAAAGCCATAGGATTCGCTAACACAGAGCACTTTGTCACACCTTAATAAAGAAAGATACTGAAAATGAAGCCATAATGTTCGATTGTAGGATTTGGTTGCACCATCCTAAAATTGAGATCAATAAATAAGCCTTAGGATGATTGTAGCCAAATAAAGAATCAAGTTATAGAGTCTAGAAGGTCACAAGTGGATTGCAAGGAATCATCTTGGCAAAAATTCAAGTAGCGATTCAAAGAAAATTAAAATTTTTTCATCGGATATCTTTCTAGGCGTATACATAAAAACTCTTACAAATAAATAAATAAATAAAATCAAATCAAATCAAATTCTTAACTTTTAAACTGTTTGTTATAACTTTGTGTTTTTAATGATTGTAGATTATGAGAATTACATTACTATGCAAAAGTCATCATCTTTTCTCTCTAACAACTTGGCCATACAAAATTTATCAATCTTGGACCATCAACGGTATGAATTTTCTACTCTCTCTCAGTACCATATATCTCTTATTGCATCGATTTAGGGTTACTAGACGGTGTGGGGTGATCATGAGAGAGATTAGGTAAGTTGTAGGATGAGAAATGTGGGTGAAAAGATGATGAATGCAGAGAAATTGGGGTTCTCAACTGCTGGACAGCAAGCCGGAACAGGAAAATTGCAAGTCGTCTGCAAAACCGACAGCGGAGATTTTTTGGATGTACAGGAGAGATTGCCACCCTAATCTAATAAGTTTACAGGCACATCACCTGCGAAAGATCTATGGATACAACATTTTTACAAGAAAAATTAGAGAAAACAGTCTCTATGGCATAATCAAAACCCAAAACTCCCAAAATCAGGAATTAACAACATATATATGTCTACAAACGAAATTTACCCTAATTCTAATAGTAACCCAAATAATATAATAGGATCCCCTTGCGGGCCCGGCTGGCCCATGGGGTTGGAATAGTTTGAACCAATCTCTCCATGATTGGTTCACACATCTCAGGTTTGGCTGGGAGCAGGGTCAGGAGCGAGAGCCCGATTGGGAGTGGGAAGGATTTCCGCATCACTTATTTTCTTTATTCTCGTCCCACCATTCAAATTGCACTAGCTTTTTGGCTAGTTTGCCTTCTAAACTATCCGGGAAGTTAAACTATTGAACTTTTTGTTTAAGCTTCTTTTATGGATGTGTTTTTTTTCAGTTAAGTTATGATATTTAATTAATTAAACAGTATATCTCTCATTGCACTTGATTGATATAGCTTTTGAGGTGGAAGATAGATATGTTCTTTATATCTTTGCCAAGACAAATTTAGGTCTTTTCTTAATATGCAAATTAATTAATTATTTTCTTAGCATTTACAGAGATATTTTATATGTTAGGTACCGGGGATTGTGTCTTTTAGATGTGATAGACTCATTGCAACCTCCACTACGTGATGTTTCAAAGCCTCTACGTCTTCCCATATGCGATGTCACTAAGTTACAGACACTCGGAATGGTGGTGGTTTCTGGTAAACTGGAGGCTGGAGTTGTTCAAATTGGTTCAAAGGTATCTTCCACCTCTTGCATCGAAGTTTGATTTCATCATTTGCTTTTGGGCATTTACATACATACCACCCAATTCCTTTGTATTTACATATCAACACCTAAACTTTATTTTTTACATTAATACCATCCAAATCTTTCATACCACATAAAAAAATACCACCCTTTTAGCTTTTAAAAAGTGAAATAATCTTTTTCATACATAGGTAACGTTGCATATATGTAAAAATTGAAGTTTGGGTTTTAGATATGTAAATACATAGGAATTGGGTGGTATGTGTACGTAAATCTTCCCTTTGTTTTTGGGAGCCAATGTTTCTTTATCCTATCCTTTCAAAGCGTTTTCACTCCTCTTTAGTGTTGTGAGGCTTGCAACCAGATTGACACCAATATGTCCTTGATGACATCCATGCCCTCTCAGGCGTCACTCATAACCACTTAATTAGGATATGATACTAACATATTCTTTTGATGAAGACCTTTTAAGTTTCAATTATGAGTAATGATTCATATCAACGTGTTTGTAGGTTTTAGTCATGCCTTCTGGGGAATTTGCTACCGTAAGATCCATCGAGCGGGATTCTTCTGCTTGCAATGCTGTAAGAGCAGGTGACAATGTGGCTATCAGTTTGCAAGGCATAGATCCCATCCAACTAATGCAAGGTGGCGTGCTGTGTCACCCAGATTTTCCTGTGGCTGTGGCGACAAGATTAGAGCTCAAGATTATTGTTTTGGACATCAAAATGCCAATCATAATCGGATCTCCTGTATAATAAATTTTTTCTTCATTTTTTTTCTAGAAAAGTGTCAAAATGATCCCTTGACTCTTTTTTGGGTGTCATTTTAGTTACAGAAAGTATAGAAGTGTAAATTTAGTTCTGAGATTCTTTTAAAGGGGGACTAAAATAGTCCTCTCTAAGGACTATTACAGCCCATATTAATAGAGTCGGGGACTAGTTTGGTATTTTTCTTTCTTTTACTGGAATACTCAACTCAGATCTAATAACTGGCATGAATGCAGGTTGAGTTCCATATCCAACACGTAAAAGAAGCTGCAAGAGTGGTAAAAATAGTATCTTTGCTGGATCAGAAAACTGGAAAGGTTTCTAAAGGTGCTCCCAGAGTCCTTAAATCTAAGCAAAGTGCCATAGTCGAGGTAAGTAGACTGGTGGTTTGTCATTTAAAGCCTTCTCCTCCATTGCAACGATAGGGTGGTTTGACGGCAATTATGTATTTCTACGAACACTTTGCTGAAAATAATTGATAAATTGAAGTAATGGTAAATTTGTTATTGAGAAAGCAGGGTGTCATTTTAGCTCTAGAGTGTATAAAAGTGTCAATTTAGGGTGTGTTTGGTGCAGCTGCAGCTTATTGAATGCTGTTAAACTAGTTAAAAATAATCTACTGATAAGCTAGGTTCGGTGGCTATTACAAATTTTTATTTTTTTGGAAAAGCCAGATCGCAGCCAGAAAGCTGCCACCGCACCTTTCTAGAAAGGTGCGGTTTTTAGGTGCGGTGTGCAAACGTTGTTTTTAACTTTTTGAAAGCGCATAAGCTGCCAAAACGCAGTTTGCCCAAACAGATCAGGTGCATTTTCAAAATGCGACCGCACCAAATAAGCTGCCCAAAACGGACATTTAGTCGCAATTATTTTGACACTTAACTCAAATTATATTATTTTGCTTTAAAATGGCTTGAACTGGATGAAGAACAAAGAAGCTGAAAATTTGTTGGACAAATTAAGAATGTATCGTAGTCTCTTTTTAATTTAGATTTTAAATTCTATGATGCTTGTGTTTCTTAATTTCAGGTGGATTTGGATGGTGCTGTTTGTGTTGAGGAGTTCAGTAGATGCAAAGCCCTTGGACGGGCATTCTTAAGGTCTGCAGGGAATACAATAGCTGTTGGCATTGTTACCAAAGTATTTGAGCAGAATGCATAGAATTTTAGGCATGATTAAAAGCCTGGTGAGCTTCCAGGATTTTATTTCTTATTCTGTAGAAGAATGTAGTACTCTGCTGTAGAGTATGAGTAGAGATTACTTGAGAGTTGAGGCTGTCTTCAATTTTGTTGTTTGCCTTTTTTATTGTAAAGAATTTTTGTTCACTTTCACAAATTATTAATATTATTATATATATTTTTTCTCAAGTATTTACACTCTAGTGCTTAAGATATATAGATTTCTTAAGGCAAAATAATCATCCCATAAATCCATTTTCACAGGCAGAGCCACTGAAAGGTTATTAGGTGCAAATGACAGGATAAATTCTAGGGGCAATTACATGCAGACCACCCGAAACTTGCTATTTACAAATCAGCCACCATCTTTCATCCATTTTTCAAATTCTCACTCAAATATCAAAATTTATGGTAAATCCCAATTTTTTTTATTTTTATCAAATTCTCAATAGTTTGATTGTGGCACGTGTAAGTACATTGATTTGATGGTTCAAAAAGTCTCTAGGGTGCTTAATTTGTAAATATTAATGTTTTGGGCCATTTTTCAAATTCTCACTCGAATATCAAAATTCATGATAAAATCCAAAAACATGTTTTCATTTTTACCAAATTCTTAATAGTTTGTAAATATTAATGTTGGGGTGGTCTGCATGTAATTATCCTGAGGCAAATTAAATGCATACCACCTGAAACTTGTTATTTGCAAATCAACCACCTTCTTTCAATTTTTTTATATTGGCGTATAGGACTGCACAATTGTGTATCTCATTTCTGTAGCAGTCGAACACTGCCTACCACCGTCGTTGGTTGGCGTTGTCCATTGCAGGCCACCTTTGCTTGCTGTCATCAGTCACCCTTGCTTGCTAAAATCGTATCACAAATATAGTTTTATCGTATTACACTATATTGAAAACTCCATAACTGTTGACCATGGCAGACCGTCACAACCTGCTACCACCGTCCATCGGTGGCCAGTGCGTACGATCATAATAGCCAGAATATGAACATTGTTCCTAACACTTATATTTTTCTAAATGTTGTATAAAGATAAATAAAGTGTTCAGTGTAAGTTTATAACCCCATTCTCCCTGAGAGAAGGGTCACTAACTATGACATATGTGGTCAACTTACAATATTGCAGTTTCAAACTACATCATTTATGACCAATTATTATTATTACAGTTTCCAACTATAATCTTTGTGGCCAACTGATACTATTACATCTTTCAATTTTGACTCGTGTGGCTAATTGATGATATTATAGTCATCAACTACGGTCATTGTGACAACTTTTAACTACGACCTGTATGGCTAGCTGATGCTATTGCAGTAAAAGACTATACTCATGTGGCCAACTGACGTTATTACAGCTTCCAACCACGACTTTTGTGACCAATCGATGCATGTGTAGTAACCAAATACAGTCTTTGTGCCCAACTACTACTGTTATAATTTTCAACTTAGATCTCTGTGGCTAACTTTCATTATTGCAGCTACCAAAAATAGTTTTTCATGGCCAACTACTACTGCCTACGACTTTTGAAGCCAAATACTATTTTTACATTCTTTAATTAAGGTTTTTGTGGCCAACTGCCACTATTACAACTACTGACTACAACCTTTATAACCAACTACTGCATTTGTAACAACCAACTACGGCTTTTGTGGATAACTATTACTATTAGAACCAAAAATCACATTTGTTGTAGCCTAATTATGGACATTATGACTAAACTACTGTAGTGCATCTGTGATTACCGACTTTCAATTTTTATCTTCATTAATTTAGGAGAAGAGTAGATATGTATTTATAATTACATAGTTGATTACTTTGATTAAGTTAGGCCCCTTCTATTTCCAGGGTTTTCTATGTTAATTTTTTTGTGTCTTCTGCTACCTTTTTATTGTTTATTTGTGTGTGGCTCTTCATGCAATGCTAATACATTAAATTAATATTCTAGCTTCGTGAATTTCAGACATTCGAGTGCACTCAAGCTTGCTCGCCTTCGTTGTCACGGCACACGCATCCGTGCATGCACTCTAGTGCTCTTCACCTCTACTGCAGCTGTTGTACGTGCATGTGCTTGTGCGTCTCTACTGTTGCTGCCACACACACAACCCCCCATGTGCTCGTGCTTGCGCGCTCATGCACTAACGTGCCCTCATTGTCGCGCATGCACGTGCAGGTACAAACTTGCGTGAACCTTTTCACCTTGTGTTCGATGTTGCATTCTTGATTGCATTTGCACCTACCTACAGATCCCATCACATCCTTAAACACAAAATTATATTTATTTGCTTGAATTTAACACGTGCTTCCATACATACATGCATACATGCCCGAACCACATATAACGACCGTTGACATTGCTAGCAACGACATGTTCAAGTATCTTTTCAGAAGTGTTTACTTCACTATTTTTTGGTATCCTGGATTGTATTTTGCCATTTTTGAAGTTCCATGAAGCATCAATGTCAAAGGTTTCTTATTTTAATTAAGTGTACAAGTTTTTAGGTATCTAAAATTATGACGGAGACTTTCATAACAACTAATTTTTTTGGATGATATGAAGATCAATGTCCAAAAATAGGGGGCAACTGATGCATCATCAATAAAATTTTGCCTTATAGCACAAATCTCAATGCTTTTTTTAGCAATAAACATTCCATATTCAAATTCAAGATCTTCTCGAGTCTTAATTCTAGAAATTTTGTAGTCAAATTGACTCTTTACAAGAAGAATTCGATGATACCAAAGTTGGGTCATTTCAAGTTCATTCAAGCCCACATTAAGGTTCAGGCCATTGGAACACATTTGGAGGCTTTGGATCAATTGAATGGTCAAATTTGACATAGTTATAATTAAATCGAGCATCTTAGAGAAATACAAAAGCCAAGATTAGTCAATTTTGAGATCATTAATTTTCTCAAAAATTTAAAAAATCTCTTATGATCACGGGAGATCGATATGGTCGCCGAATCAGGTGGTTGGTGAAGTTATTCGCCAAAAGACCAAAATTATCCTCCTCATAAGCTATAAATATAACCTCTCACTTCACTCGAGGGAGGGGAAGAGGGATTCAAGAGGGTGTGATAGACTAAAGACCTAACAATAATATTTGACCTTTGTAGCCCCCAACCACCGTTGATCACCCCGCATTGACTGCCTTCATCCACCGCTAACTGCCCCGACTCACCACTGTCACTAAACCCTACTTGTCATCGACATTTCTCAAGTATGAGTAATGTATAACAAGCATAATGACCAAAATACGATGATTATTCCTGACACCTATATTTTTGTATACACTGTATAAAGATAGATATAAATTTTCGGTGCAAAAATTGAAATCTCGTTTTCCATGAGAGAAAGGGTATAACCACTAATTACGACCAATGTGGCGAACTCACCAAATTGCAATCATCAACTATAGTTTTTATTATCAACTACTATTATTACAGTTTTCAACTATAGTCTATGTGATCAACTGAAGCTTTTACACCTTTCAACTACAACATATGTGACCAACCGATGATATTGCAGTCACCAAGTGCGATCTATGTGACACTATTGTTACAGCTTTTAATTACAACCTTTATGACAAACTGACGTTATTGTAGTCACCAACTAAGACTTATGTGAGCAGCTTACACTACTACAATTTTTCATCATGACCTTGGTGGCCAACTATTGCTTGTGCAACAACCAAATATAGTCTCTGTGACCAATTACTACTACTACGGTTTTTAACTACGACATTTGTGTCCAATTTTTGCATTTACATCCACCGATTACAATCTTTATGGCCAACTAATATCTTTATAGCAATCAAATATGACCTTTGTGGTGAACTACTATTATTACAGTCTATGTGACCAATTGTTGTTATTGCAGTCATCTACTATAATTTTTATGACCAACTACTATATTTATAACAACCAAGTATGACCTTTGTGACTACCTATTGCTATTACGATCAAGAACCACCTTTGTTGTAGTTCAATTATAGCCATTATAATTAAACCACTGTTGTATATCTGTTATTATCAGCTTTTTAATTTGATATTTTCTAATTTAAGAGAAGAATGAATCTACTATCTTTCTAGAATTTTATCACATAAAAATTTTGTTGTCCGCTCTTTCTTAAGAGAAGAATGAATCTATGTACTTACAATTTCATAGCGGGTTGCTTTGGTTGGTTAAGCCCTATGATTTGTTATCTTTCTAGAGTTTTATCACATAAAAATTTTGTTGTCCGCTCTTTCTATTTTTTTATTATTCATCTTTATTATCATTCTACCATTATGAATTCTACGACACACAATAAGAAAAATAATTATGATAATAATTATTATTTTATTTATTGATATTTGTTTTCTTAATATTTATTTATAAACTGATTCAATAAGCCGATAAAACAAAAACTATGAAAAAAAAAGTTCAATAATAACTATCATAATTCATGATGGAAAATTTTATGCATGAGGAAGGCTTTGGATTTTAGCTTGAATTGCTCGAAAAATTATTTCCAAATTTTATTGGAATTGAGATGAGAAAAATAAATGAGCCGAGTTATTAGTTGAAATCATGTATTGAATTTATTTTGAGTAATACAAAAGTCGGCTCTAAATGACTCGAGATAGACTCTAAATATTTTATTTATAAATTTGTTCATGCATATAAAAATTTGTTTAATTGAATGCTAAATAAACTATTAAATTGTACAAGTAGTAGGATTTTTTAGTTTTTTTTTTTGAATTTTATTCATTAATTTTAAATTGGGTTAATCTTGGCTCATTTTGATTTTTGAGCTGGAATTGATCTAAATCGCTCAATTTTAGTCAGGTCATTTCAATCTCAAACAAGATCAAATTCGACTCAATTTCAAATCGAACTAGCTCTAAATTGAATACAGTGAGCTATGATCGGCTCGAAAATGGATCAATCTGAACATTTTGCTTGAACGCATAACATGTTGGTTGAAAATAAAATAAACCTTTGTAAGGTATTAGGTTGGAAGGTTTGCCCTACCTAAAAATTATCCATATGTCATCTAGAAGAAATGAATAATTCAGATGTGGAAACAAGGCTATCGGAAAAAAAAAAAAATCACCGAACAATAGCAATAGAACCTCAGAAATATCAAATACTAAAGAGAGATACATCAATAATAAAAATCAAAATCCAGCTAGAATAAACTCACGACCAATATAACAACAAAACAACAATAGGTAAGCAACTACATACAAAAGGAAACCAGTAACAAAATTCCATCAACTAGCAGGAAAAACTCCAAGAAAACATAAAATTAATCAATAAGAAAACCACAAAGAAGTGCAAGAAGAACCCCACAAATATCAAAAAATTCTAAGAAAAAAAAGATATCCACCAACAGATGGCCAAAAGCTAAAACCTACAAAACTATAACATCTCACAACCAACAACAGATATCCAACTGAATACGAAAAGAAACCAATAACAAACACCTAACTACAAAAACAATCCACAGAATACAACCAACAAACAACATAGCATTTAAAAACAATCCAAATTGTGAATGAATGAAATCCACACTAGCTGTCTTTTAAGAGCTGAACAAAATGGCAAAGAAAAAATGAAAAACAAAAACCAAGCTATACAAAAAGCCAAATAATTTTCTAGAAATATAATATATATATATATATATATATATATACTCATCATTTTATTTGGCCTCGTGTTTGTGTTAAACAACCTAAAGTATTCAGGTGCAAGTAGGGCCGTCAAAACGGTTTATTGTCGCTAACAGTTCGTATTCAGTTGGTTAAAAAACTCGTGTTTGATTCGCTCACTAAGTAAACGAGCTGAACAAGAACAAATTTTTTGTGCTCGATATATAAACGAGTCGAACACGAACAAAGATTTATTCATTCATGTTTGGCTCGCTTTGACTCGAAATAATTAAATTATATATATATATATATAT